GGTGGCGAGGAGGAGCATGATGATGCTGATGATGATGACGACGATGATGATGCTGATGATGATGCTGCTGGTGGTGGTGATGATGATGCTGACGAAGCTGCTGATGATGGGGATGATGCTGATGATGTTCATGATGCGGAGGAGGAGGAGGAGGAAGAGGAGGAAGAAGAAGAGGAGGCAGAGGAGGAGGACGAGGAGGACGAGACGCAGCGGCAGCAGGATGAGCAGGAGCACGGGGAGGGGGGCTAGGAGGAGGATGGCGGCCCCGAGGAGGGCCAGAACGCGCCGAGCGACCCCGAGCTGAGGGTCGGCAAGAAGCTCTCGGACGCGGGCTCAGCCGTCGCTATCGTCGCAAGTGTATATGGCTGATGGTGTTGATGACTGTGATTATGGTTGGTGAGGGTGTTAATGGCGATGCAGATGATGTCGACGACGTCGACGATTGGTGATGTGACGATGCGGATGGTGGTGATGCAGGTGACGGTGCTGATGCTGCGGCTGGCGTTCATGGTGATGATTGGTATGTCAATGGTAGCGTTGATGATGGCGGTGCGTGTGGCAACGTCGGTGATCGCGGTAGCGACGGATATGGCGATCGCGACGATGGTGACCGATGCTGTTCATGAGGTTGTGGTTGTTGATGTTGCGAATGATGATAATACTGTGTCTGATGATGGTGGTGATCATGATTATAATGCTGATGGTGATGCTGCTGCTGTTGCTGGTGACGGCGACGATGGTGACGAGGGTGATGCTGACCATACTGTTGATGCTGCTGCTGATGCTGATGACGATGCTGATATTGATATTGATGATGCTGGTGATGGTGATGGTGATGATGATGCTGATGGCCATGATGATGATGTTGATGCTGACGACGATGACAACGATGACGCCGACGTTCACGACGACGACGATGCTGATCATGCTGATGACGAAGAGGAGGATACTGCTGTTGATGGTGACGATGCTGATGCTGATGATGACGATGCTGATGCTGTTGATGATGATGGTGGTGCTGGTGTTGTTGTTGATGATCATGATGGTGATGACGTTAATGTTAATGTTAATGTTGTTGTTGTTGTTGATGTTAATGTTGTTGCTGATGATAATGCTCGTGATGATGTTGATGATGACGGTGCTGATGATGATGACGACGACGATGATGGCGACGACGACTTTGACAGCGATGATGAGGAGTAGGTGGAGGAGGAGGGTGAGGATGAACGAGCATGAGGATGTGCCTAGTGGTCGTGATTGCGAGAGTGATCGAGAAGAGCGAGGAGCAGCAGGAGGATGAGCAGGATGATGGCATGGGTGACAGCTGCAACCTCAAAGACTGGGGAGGGGGGGGGGCAGGCCGAGGGCGGCGGAGGGGGGATGAGGAGGAGGAGGAGGAGGAGCGGGGGGGAGGGAGGAGTGGGGAGGAGGAAGGAGAGGGGGTGAGGGGGACGAGGGGGGGGAGAGGGACGAGGAGGAGGAGAGGGACGAGGAGGAGGAGGAGTGTAAACCCAAGAGTCGCCAACGATGTTGGAATGACTCCTCCCCCCAAGCTCCCTCCTCCATAGGCCCCTGCAACGGTTCATTTCCATGGACGGAACTGCCCCGTTGGAAGACAACCGATTGAAGATCCTGAAGCGTGCCAAAACATTGTTCTCGGGATTTCAACGCCACGTATCAACCTGACTGCTGCGTCTTGACGATCCAGAACCGTGCCAGAACGTCATTTTTTGATTTCAACACGGCGAACCAACATAATTGTTGCGCCCGCATAATCCTGAACCCTTCTAAAACACCATTGCGCTGATCATGGAAATCCGTGAAATCCTTCGAATTTGTGTAGACGGCGGCGCTAAGGCGAGAGCCACATGTCGGAAAGGAACTGCCCTCAATCGTTGAAACTCTTGCAAATGTGGAAGGCGCATGTGCTCTGCGCTAAGGCGAGAACCACATTTGGAAACCGACCCACCCTCAATCTGTGAAACTCTGGCAAATTTTTAGAACGAATGTGCGCGGCGCTTAGGCGAGAACCACACTTTGAAAACGACCCGCCCTCAATACGTGAAGCTCCCCGACATGTTTAGAACGAATGCGCGCGGCGCTCAGGCGAGAGCCACATTTTGTAAACCACCCGCCCTCAATTTGTGAAGCCCTCACACACGTTCAGGAATAATGCTTTCGGCGCAAAGGCGAGACCCACATTTTGAACACCACGCGCTTTTTTTATGCAAAAGTTTAGAACAAATGTGCGCGGCGCTGAGGCGAGAGCCACATTTGGAAAACACCCGCCCTCCATGTTTGAAACTGCTGTCATCTTCTAAGCCTCAGAGTCATAAGTGGTGAATAAGTCTCAGGCGAAACGCTGGGCCCGCTCTAAAAACTGGCCTCGGGGTTCGTAGGGAGGAGTTATCCATGAGGAGAAGGAATGGAGGAGGAGGAGGAGGAGGAGGAGGAGGAGGAGGAGGAGGAGGAGGAGGGGGAGGACCAGTGGAAACCCAAGGGCCACCAACGATGTTGTAATCAACCCTCCCCCCAAGCTCCCTCGTCACAGGCCCCCACAACGGTTCATTTCCATTGTGGGAACTGCCTCGTTGGAAGACAACCGTTTGAAGATCCTGAAGCGTGCCAAGACAGTGTCCTCGGGATTTCAACGCCACGTATCAACCTGATTGCTGCGTCTTGACGATCCAGAATCGTGCCCAAACGCCGTTTTTTGATTTCAACACAGCGAATCAACATACCGGTCGCTCCCGCATAGTCCTGAAACCTTCGAAAACACCATTTCTGGTGCGTTGATCATGGAAGTCCGTGAAACTCTTGCAAATGTTGAAAACGAATGTGCGCGGCGCTAAGGCGAGAGCCACATTTTGAAAAGGAGCCGCCCTCAATCGGTGAAATTCTGGCAAATGGTTAGAACGAATATGCGCGGCGCTTCGGCGAGAACCACACTTTGAAAACGACCCGCCCTCAATACGTGAAGCTCCTCCAAATGTTTAGAACGAATGTGCGCGGCGCTAAGGCGAAAGCCACATTCTGAAAATGGCCCGCCCTCAATGTGTAAAACTCTGGGATTTTTTCGAACGAATGTGCGCGGCATTTAGGCGAGAGCCACATTTGGAAAACCACCCCCCCTCAATCGGTGAAGCTCTTGCATTTTTTTGAACGAATGTGCGCGGCGCTGAGGCGAGAGCCACATTTGGAAAGCCACCCGCTCTCCATCTTTAAAGCTGTTGTCACTTTTTGTAAGTTTCAGAGTCGTAAGTGGTGAGGAAGTCTCAGGCGAAACGCCCAGCCCGCTCTAAAAACTAGCCTCTGGGTGCGACAGGGAGGAGTTATCCATGAGGAGAAGGAGGAGGAGGAGGAGGAGGAGGAGGGGGGGAGGAGGAGGGAGGAGGAGGAGGAGGAGGAGGAGGAAGAGGAGGAGAACGAGGAGGAGGAGGAGGAGAGGAGGAGGAGGAGGAGGAGGAGGAGGAGGAGGAGGGAGGAGGAGGAGGGAGGAGGAGGAGGGAGAAGGTGAAGGGGATGAGGGGGACGAGGAGGGAGGAGGGGAGGAGGAGGAGGAGGAGGAGGAGGAGGAGGAGGAGGAGGAGGAGGAGGGGGAGGAGGAGGAGGAGGAGGAGGACCAGAGTGAGCCCATTAAGCATCACCGATGCCTGCGATGCACACTCCCGTCCCAAGTCCCCTCCTCAAAGTCTTCCTTCCCACTGCCTGGGGGGGCCCTAGAGTGACGAGCCCCCGGTTGGCCTGTCATTCAGGCGAGGACCTGTTTATGTACAGGATCTGTCCTCCGTCCTCCCAGCTAGAGTGAGCGCAAAGTCGAAGGAGTTCTCAAGCGATTGCCACGTCTTGAAAAGAGTCTGCCTTCCAGCCGGGTGCGCGTTGCAAAATTCAAGCGTTTTGGTTCTACAGTTTGCGGATGTCTCAAACGAGAGCCCCATTTCAAAAATGAGCCACCATCCATCCGCGTAAAGGTTGCGCAGCCCTCGCGTGGGCCGCGGACTGGGCGGCCCGTGCGTGCGTCGCCGCTGGACTGCCGCGCGCGGACCCCGCGCAGACAGAGCCCGCCGCCGCCGCCCGCAGCGCCCGCGGCGCCTGCACCCCCTCTGCCGCGGCGCCCGAGGGCACCGGCAGCGATGGAGGCCAGCGGGGTCGTCGCGCCACCCGCGCCGGCAGAGGCGGCTCGCGCCCTCTTCGCGGGCGCTGCGTGGCTGGTGCACGCGCCGGCGCAGGGCCCCAGCTGGGTGGCATGCCTGCGGTGTGGCTTCTCGGCGGCGCGGCTGGCGCAGCTGTCGGCGAGGCTGTGCGCAGGTTGGGCGCTGGCGCTGACCCCGCGGGCAGCCATGCTGCTGCTGCTTCTGTTGGCGCCCTTCCGTTTGCGGCTGATGATGATGATGCTGATGATGCTGAGGATGAGGATGATGATGGTTTTGGTGATGATGATGCGATGATGGTGATGATGTTGATGCTGATGCTAATGCTGATAGTGATGCTGATGCTGATGTTGATCCTGACGGTGAGGAGGGTCAGGTCAGGATGCGAATGCTTGTAACGGCGCTGATACGGGGCAGTGAGGAGGAGGATGAACAGAAGAGATGTTGGATCTCGAAGGAAGGAGGGGGAGGAGTACGAAAATGAGGACCAGGATGAAGTGGATGGGCAACAAGTGGGGAAGTGTGATTGAGGAGGAGCAGGGATGAGGGTGAGGATGGGTGTGTGGATGGTGGGCAAGTGAAGGAAGGGACACAATATTGGCAGTGGTGATTGTAATGATGAGGCATGCTGCGTGCGCTCCTGATCCTCTGGCCCCCCCCGCCCTCAAGCTCCTCCATCCGCTGCTTCCCCCCCCGTGCTTCCGCAGCTCCGGGTTGAGAGCTCTCTCCGGCAGGCCCGATCAGTCAGCCGCGTCGCCGAGGGGCACTACCCCGCAGCCATTTTCGCTTCGACCTCTTCGGTTCAGGTGCACTACCGCCGCCCTGCTCGGCGCCGTCGATCACTCAGCCATGGCGCAGCGCGTGCTGACCATCCAGCGCCACGTGTTGGCGGGGGATGCCTCTGTGACCGGGGGCGTCTGTGTGCGGGGCGTGAGTGCCGCCGAGGACGCCGACTTCGCGGCGCGGTGCAAGGAGATGTCCGCGTGGATGGCCCAGGAGCGCTTCAAGCACACCACCCGGCCGTACAAGGTCGAGGACGTCGTCAAGTTGCAGGGCACCGTGCCGCTGCACTTCACGGGCGCGAAGGTCTCGGAGAAGCTCTACAGGATGATGCGCGAGCACCAGGCCAAGGGCACGTGCTCCCACACCTTCGGCGCGCTGGACCCGGTGCAGGTGGTGCAGATGGCGAAGTACCTGACCACCGTCTACGTCAGCGGTTGGCAGTCGAGCTCCACCGCGTCCACGTCAAACGAGCCAGGCCCTGACGTGGCCGACTACCCGTACGACACGGTGCCGAACAAGGTAGACCAGCTCTTCAGGGCCCAGCTGTTCCACGACCGCAAGCAGTACGAGGATCGGCGGCGCATGAGCCCCGAGGACCGTGCCAAGACGAAGCCAGTAGACTACATGAACCCCATCATCGCCGACGCCGACACCGGCCACGGCGGCCTCACCGCCACCATGAAGCTCGCCAAGATGTTTGTGGAGTTCGGCGCCGCGGGCATCCACATCGAGGACCAGAAGCCCGGCACCAAGAAGTGTGGCCACATGGGCGGCAAGGTCCTCGTGTCCACCTGGGAGCACATCCAGCGCCTGATCGCTTGCCGCCTGCAGGCCGACGTGCTGAACTCGCCCCTTGTTTTGGTCGCCCGCACGGACGCGGAGGCGGCCACGATGATCGACTCCAACATCGACCCGATCGACCATCCCCACATCAAGGGCGCTACGGTGCCGGGCGTGGAGAGCCTGTACGACGCCATTAGGAAGGGCACCGACAAGGACTGGGAGGAGCGCGCTGGCGCGATGACCTACCCGGATGCGGTGGCCAAGGCGCTGAAAGCCAAGGGCACCGACCCGAGCAAGTGGCTGAAGGACTCCCTGAAGATGTCCCTGACAGAGATGAAGGCGGCCGCGGCCAGCATGGGCGTCGGCGACATCTTCTTCGACTGGGACTGCGCTCGGTCGGTGGAGGGCTACTTCAGGATCAAGGGGTCAACCGACTTCTGCATCCAGCGCGCCATCGCGTTCGCCCCGTATGCTGACTGCATCTGGATGGAGACCGGCAAGCCCATCCTCAGCCAGGCGGCGAAGTTCGCCCAGGAGGTCAAGGCCGCTGTGCCTCACCAGATGCTCGCCTACAACCTCAGCCCGTCCTTCAACTGGGACACGGCAGGCATGACCGATGCGCAGATGGAGTCCTTCATTTGGGACCTGGCGAAGCTTGGCTTCTGCTGGCAGTTCATCACCCTGGCAGGGTTCCACTGCGACGCCCTCAGCATCGACCTCTTCGCGCGCAGCTACGCGACGAAGGGCGCCGCGGCCTACGTGCAGATGATCCAGCGTAAGGAGCGCGAGGAGAAGGTGGAGACACTGACGCACCAGAAGTGGAGCGGCTCCGAGATCGTGGACGAGATGGGCAACATCATCTCGGGTGGTACGTCGTCCACAGGCATCATGAGCGCGGGCGTCACCGAGAAACAGTTTTAAACACTGGAGAGTCGCGAACATGCGTTTACGTATCGTGTGCGAGTTCTTCGCGGTCTTCGATGCGAGCCGCTACTGTTGCAAACACGTGTCTTCTTGAGGGGCGCTTTGCACACATGCGAGGAGGTCGGACATTCACGTCAGTCCACGCTGATGGTGTCCGGCTATTTCATTCTCGACAATTTTCCGCACCAGTAATAATTATGCCTTTTGCGATGACTTTTGAAGCAGGTGTAGGCTGTGGCCACGCCTCTCTTACATCGTTTGTACTACCGCAGAGCTTTACAAGTTGCGGCGACCGGGACTCGAAGCGAGACGTCAGAGGAGTAGGAACTCATCAGCCCCGTCTTCATCTTCAGCCACCCGAACCCTTTTTATGTGTCTCGCATTTCCCAATCATGATTCCGCACGCCGTATCCAGAACATTCTGGAGACCGCGGGCTCACACACCTGGTTCCAGCGAGGTATGGGAGAATGTCAGCAGCGGTGGTCTTCTTCTACTCTTCATATCCCTACTCCCGTCTCGCCCCTTCCAGATCCTCATCCCATCCTCCATCCCTTCTTCCCCCCCTATCCAACTCGGGGGTGGGTCCTTGGACTATTGGTATCCTCTTTGGCCCGCCACAGGCCCTCTGGAAGCCTCCACAGGCCAGCCGCCCAACTATGCCTCTGAAGATCTCTGGGGGCCTCCAGAAACTACCATCTTGAAAACAATAACGACGGGAGGTTTATCGTTGCTTTCAATCACTGGAGGCCCTTACCGGGCCCTGGGTCTGTCAAAAGACGACTCGGGATGAGAAGCCGGTCCAGGCGGAATGGTTCAGATGTCCAGGGCTCCCACGTTGCAACAAAAATCACGACGTCGCACGTCCAGGAGTTCCGGAGGCCTTCGCAGACTTCCGTATGGACGTTCAGGGGGAGCCGGCTCCTATCTCCTAGTCATCCTCTTCTTCCTCTCCCCCTTCTCTCTCCTGGGTTGCGGGCAGACTCTGCTTGTTGCCCCCCCCCTTCCTGTGTCTCAGCCCAGAGTGGTTCTCTCTGCATTGATTCCCCCACAGCCTCCCAGGAGGAGGAGGAGGAGGAGGAGGAGGAGGAGGAGGAGGAGGAGGAGGAGGATACCCTGAGATGCCTTGCCTCCTTCTTCCACTGCAGGGTCCGACCGCGGCCCCGCCCTGGGTGTCTGGCCAGTCTCGTTTCCCGAGTCGGCTCGTCGATCGCCCCTCCCTCCTCCTCCTCCTCCTCCTCCTCCTCCTCCTCCTCCTCCTCCTCCTTCTCCTCCGCCTCCTCCTCCGCCTCCTCCTCCTCCGGGGCCAGGCTTTCGCTGGGAGGAGCGGGAGGGACGAGTGGGAGCATGACTCAGGAAACAAGCAATGACGTGCACGTAAAAACGCGGAGGTCCGCACGGATTTCTCGGATCGGTGCTCGAGACCCCTGGCGGCTCCTCCAGCACCGCCCCTGGCGCGCTCCGCGCGCCAGTGAGGGAGGGGGTCCAACGCCGATACGAGAAATCCGCGCGGACCTCTGAGTTGTTATGTTTATGTCATTGCTTGTTTCCCCAATGACGTCGAAGAAGAAGCTCACGGCATACACGAATGTCCAGTGCTTCGCGTGGATTTCTCGGAGGTTCGCTTGCCCCCCTCGTTGTTTTCTGTGACGAGGACGGATCTCAGGAAGAGGATGACTGGGAGAAAGGCGAGGAGACAGCGGAGGAGGAGGAGGAGGAGGAGGAGGAGGAGGAGAAGGAAGGGGGCGAGGAGACGGACGGGGTCAATATCACCTTTTCTCACCTGGCTCTTTTCTCCTTCCCACTCTTGCATGGTCCCCCAGTTCCCTGTCGTCCCTAACTCCCTCCCTGCAGTGTCTTCCCTCTCCCCTCCCGACGCTTCGCAGTCGTCCTTGTCTTCCCTCCCCTCGTACCTCACCTTCCGTGCACGTCTCTCGTCTGTCGTCTATCTCTTCTCCCTTTCTCCCAATCTCAGGCAGGAGGGGACCCATCGTCGACTCGCAGGAGAATATGGGACAATATGGGAAGTGTGGGGGGAAACCGAAAACCGAGAAAATATAGGAGCATGTGGGGAATCCTGGGATTTGTGTGTATTCGTTTGTGTGTATTCGTTTGTGTGTTCTTGGGCCCCTTTAATCATTCCTTTTTCTCTAAGCCGCCCGACCCCTCCCCAAAAACCACAGCCTCCCTCTGTGGAGGCCAGCTGAGGCACCCGACCCTGCCCTGCTCTTCCCAGCCCCTGCCTCTCCCATCCTCCGCTCCCCCTGCCTCCGCTTGCCCCCCCCCCTCCCCTCTCGGCGCCCTCCCTGTGCGCGCAGAGGCGCTGAATTGAGAACCGCTTCGAGCTGAGGAGGGCCTCGGGGTCGACGGTCGAGGTCCAGGCCTCGAGGTCGAGCTCGAGGTCCAGGCCTTGAGGTCGAGGCCCCGAGGCCGATGTTTGGCCGAGGCTCCTCGTGGCCAGAAAGCCGCATTCGTTCCTTATTCAGCGACCCCTGTGGCAGCACGACGACTGTATATCCACAGCCTCCACATCCAGAGACGTTGCGCGCCGAGGAGATGACGACCCGCCGCGTCATCATCCTGGTGCTGGTCATGCTCTTCATCATGCCACAGTTTGCTCCCAGCGAGCAAGGGCTGGTGGAGTTCCACTCCTCCGCCAACTTCGGTGCGGAGCTGGTTTACGAGAGATGGCGGCAGGACCTTCTTTCTCCGTTCTAGTAGCACAGCGCTGGATTTTAAGCCCAGTCCCGCCTGTTGGTCGGCCTTCTCATCCTCCCGCGCTTGATTTCAATTACCTCCATGTCGTCTCTCCCTCATGGATGTCCACCTTTCTCTTCCACCATCCACCCGCCCGAATCTGGTCGCCTCGAAATACTCCAGGGAACGAGCAGCGCCTGAAGCCTTCACCAGGACCCCCCAGCGCTGGCAACCGCATGGAACTGCTGGCGGCCAACATCCTGGGGCCCACAGCGTGACCGACCAAGCCCTGCAGGTCACTGCAGCACCTCCCAAAGAGTATGCTGTGTCGCCGCTGCCGCGGCGTCCCCGAGCTGTCGACCCAAACTCCCGGGACTGGCTTCTCTCGGAGGCGTCCAGCCGGGGGGTCAAGGATCAAGGGGGGAGTGGATGTCAGGCCACGGCATCTCCCAGATTTCAGGGGCCTTTTTTTTCTTCAGCACGTCGCCTGGCCCCCCCTCGTCCGCGCACCTGCGCCGGGCCATGATGGGTCCCCCCCGACTCTTCCTGGCCCCCTCTCTTCAATCGGCGCACCCGATTCTCGCCGCGGGGCCTTTCCTGACTGCCCCTGGGGCTCGAAAACGACCCCTGGTGGACGCCGACGATGTCGCCAGGCGACTTCCGCAGCACTGGACGTCGATCCGATTTCCCGATTCGATGCTGACTGACCTTGGCCGCACGAGGACCACTCTGCTAGTAAGGGGCGGGGTGGATTCCGCACGCACGCACGCACCCCTGCTACTGCTGCGACGCCCTCTTCACATCTTGGGGCAACCTCCGGAGCCCCCGAGATGGCCGAAAGGCCCCCCAGGATAGTCCCAAGACCGGCCCTCCTGGGGCCCCGAGCCTGATCGATCTGTGATCTGTGCAGGCCCCGGGGCTCGACACCCGGCAACGTCAGGCGTGCAACACTGCAACACCTGGATCTCAGGAATCGCTTCAGGGCCTCTGCTCCTCGAGGGCCTCGCCGCCCCCTCCCCCCCCAGTGGTGCTTTGACGGCTGGGACGGGACCACCGACACCCTGCCGTGGTGCCTCTCGTCCGCGGCGTCCGACGACCTGGCGGCGGCGAGGCAGCTCAGGAACGTCGTCGCCGTCGCCGCGGCCGCGCGGCCGTCGCCATCGCCGCCGTCGTCTTCATCGTTCGTTTGCATTCTTGGTGGGTATTAGGAACCCAGGATCGCCCATGTTGGCTTAAATGTCCTGGAAATGTCCTGGGGCGTTTTTTGAGTAGGCTTTGTTGAAAGCCTTAAAATGTATTCAAAATGTCTTCCGCGCGCTTCTGGATCAGGGGGTCCAACCCTTCCAACCTCGAGCGAATGGCGCCACAGCCGCGCGACGCTGCCTTGCCAAACGTGCGATTGTAGTGCGCGGCGTTACAGCCACGTGGCGCTCTCTCGCCGAACGCGCGACTGTAATGCCACTGTGCCTGCGCATTCAGGACGCATCAAGTTGTCCGCGGCAAACCCCGCCGCCTTGCCAGCGCAACAGCCTTCGTTCGCTTGTTCCTCATCATCGTTTTCCTCTCAGTTTTCCCCTCCTCCTCATCGTCATCCTCGTCTGCCTTTTCCTGATCATGTTCCTCCTGTTCTTCACGCCGCCTGCCTGTATTCGCTCCTCCCTGTCCTCCCTCTGGCTTTCCTCAGTTTTCTTCTTCGAGTGAAAGTTGGGAACTTATTTGCTAGCCTCTTGATGTTCATTGGGGTACATAGGGTCGTCTGGGGGGGGGGTCGCGGTATGGTTGGGGGTTTTGGGCGGGTTCTGGGGTGGTTCTCGGGGGCTTCTTAGGGTTCGAAAGCGTTTCGGAGACTTCTGGGAGCCCATGGCAGGGGCGTCCTCGAGGCATCTTGGGGGCACGTTGGGGTTTTCTTGACAGGATTCTTGGAGGGGACAGCTTTCAAGTCCAGGTCGATGTCGCTCCCGTGGGCCTCTCTTACGGTGTTTTTGGGGGGCATTCGGCCGCGTTGGAGGCATATAAAGCCATATTGGTGTATCATCGGGCCGTCTTGGAGGCATTCTGGGCCGTCTCAGGGCCATCCAGGGCCAGCCTGGGCTCTCCCGTGGGAGAGCGGCGGCGGCGGGCAGGACGTATTGGGGGGGGGAATGTGCGAGGGCAGCGGGGAACCATTGGGGATAGAGCGGGGGCGGCACTAGAGACGGACGGCGGCTATGGACACCAAACAGTGTTGCGCGACGTAGGCTAACGTTCGGGCCAGTCCGATCGTAAACAAGTGCAAGTGCAAGCATTGTTTGGGAAAGTAAAGGCATCCTTATGCGCCAGGTGGCGGTGAATGCGGGGCGATGGCGCTTGATTTAGGGAGGGGGGTAGCATCGCCGTCGCCAAGAGGGCGGGGGCGAGTTGAAGGAATCATGATGATGAGGGGGAGGATGGGCAGCAGCGAGAGAAGGATCGGCATCTCCCTCCCTAGATTAGGCGCCATTGCTTCGCATTCGTTGCAGTCGTTTGTCCTGCGTTGTTCCTGCTCTTGCTCGCGTGCACCCGCGACCGCTTTGGTTCGGGCCTCTTTCATTGACCACCCAGCGGGTCATTTTTCGGCTGGGCCGCCGATCCCCCTCCATCGGCCCAGCCAGCGCCTGCTGCCGCGCTCACGCGCGACGCATGGCGGCGAAGCGCATGAGGCTGGACGTCGCCAGGTCCTCAGAGACGGCGCCGAGTCTCAGGCTGTCCGACGATGAGATCAAGGCGGTGTTGGAGCGACCTCGGCTGTTCTGGGAGAGCCCGCTGATGTCTAGAATGGGCGCCGTGCTCTTGGCGGCGCGCCGCGAGAACGTGGAGGCTTCATCTGTATGCCGCGGTCTGCTGCACGATGGTCTGGGTTGTTCGTTCCGCGCGAGCTTGGCGACTCAGGCATCGGCGTTGGAAAAAGGACAGTGGGAGATGAAGCACAGGATGCTGAGTTCGGCGGTGTGGGGGGGGCTCGTGGATCGATGGCATCGGTCGTTCATCGTGCGCGCCTTTGCTGTGCGCGCACGGGCCATCAACGCTGGAGTTCAATTGGTGCAGGCTGTTGACCACGCATCGTACGACGAGACGCCGCTGGAGATCCAGGCGCAGAGTGACCATCGAGAGCTTCGTCGCCCTGCTTTTTCAGGTGGTGATTGTGGCGCTGAGGTGGCAACGATGCCATCCAGATCATTGTGCCTCGCCCTGTTGCGAGGCACGGTCCGAGGCTTCAGGGCCAAGACGGTCACCAAGCTCTTCGCCACGAGGTCGCGGTACTGTCACCTTCTGAAGTTGAACCTCATGGGCCACGAGCGCTACATGTACCTCGTGGGGGACGTGGTGTGCCAGGTTCAGCCGTTGATGCGAACGTCGGCCGCTTGCCAGGCGTTGGCTCTGATCGAATCGGGTTCGGCTTCGCTTGCAGAGAATGCGTTCTCCCACAAGGCGCGGATCACCGACGCGGACGGCCACAGGTCCAACAGAGCTGGCGAGAACATCTTGGATACGATGCGCCCGCCTGGTTGGGTGCGAATGTTCTTCCAGTGCCAGGCCCACTCGATCGTGAGGGCGCATAACATTGCCATGAAGCACGTTGACAATGGTGTGAAAGGCATCATTCATTTGGCGTTGTGTTTCAAAGTAGCTGGTAGCAAGCACTCGTTCAACGAACATATTTGGAATGAGGTCCACCGACGGCTCCACGTCAGAATTGTTCTCGCTTCGCGTATCACCACCAGCCCATCCAAAAACAGTCGCCAGGCGAGTTGACCCGATCAGGGATGTGTAGCAGCATCTGGCCCAGCAGCGATCCACGTCCGCCGCTGAGGAGCAGTCGGAGTGAAGAGAAGAGAGAGGGAGCATGCAGAAAACGGATGGGGATGGATGAGAGGAGCAGGTGGGGAGGACGAAGAGGAAGATGATGATGATGATGAGGAGGAGGAAGCGGAGCACGAGCAGGAGGGGGAGACTAAGTAAAATGATTATGATATAGATGGTGAGGGATAGGCGCACGACGACGAGGACGAAACATACGACGGCGACGACGACACCAACGACGACGACGACGACAATAGTCAAGCACCAAGGTCATTGCAGATCCTGTGCTCTGAAGGCGTCGCGTCTTGGAGGCTTCTTGGAGCCATCGCGGGGCCCGCTTGGGGTCACCTTGGAGGCTCTATAGCCTTCTTGCTGCTCTCTTGGGGCTCCCTTCTTGGGCTATTGGGGCGCTCTTGGGACCCTCTTGGAGGCCTTGGAAGCCCTCCTGGGGCCATCTTGGAGGCCTCTCGGGCCCTCCTGGTGGTTTCCTGGAGCCTTCTTTGTGCGCTCTTGGGGCCCTCTGGAGGCCATATTTGACGCGTTGAAGGCCCTCTTGGGACCATCGATCAAAGAAGGATGGGGGTTCCCTAAGTCAGTGCCCCGTCGGGACCCGAAAATGAACCTCTTGGGGCCCTCTTGGGCCGATCTTGGGGCGGTCTCGGGCGCTCTTGGGGCGGTCTTGGGGCCCTCCTGGGCCCCTCTTGGGGCCCTCTTGGGCCATCTTGGATCCATCTTGAAGCCTCAAGAACCCATCGGACGCGAAAAAGCGACAGTGCAAAACAAACACATTGAAAAACACCAGGAATTTGAAGGATTTTGGCCTCTTGAGGGGTTCCTTGGAGGGCCCGAAAGGCACTTGGAGCCGTCCTGGGGCGGTATTGAGAGCTCTTGGATGCATGTTGAAAGCTATATTGAACCATATTGGGCCTTGGGCTATCGTACAACATCTTGGAGGCCATCTTGGGCTCTTTGAGACCCTCTTGGGGCCATCTGGGGCCATCTTGGACACCCTGACCCCTCGCGGAACCCCCCTCCAGGTCCAGGGGGAGGGGGTAGGGGGAGGTGGGCCCCCCTCCCCGAAGGGGGAGAAGGGGGCTTAGCATAACAAGCTCGCTAGACCACTCACGCCCTAGCCCTAAAGGGCTGGTGGGATCGGCAGTCCTACCAGAGAGGACACTGTGTATAACCAGGTTGTGCTCAAGTCGTTCATCTCTGGGGACGGCCAGAAGACCCGCAGGCGAGTTATGTTTCATTTGCTTCCCAGCAGTTCCATGATCGACGAGCGCGAGATCACGATTTGGGTTGATACATTGGACGGCTTGGACGAGAGTGTGCTCAAAACTACAGTTGCGGATTCGATGGTAGAAGCATTGATGCCTCGGGCTTTGCGCGTTCTGATCAGGAGCAGGTGGGGCGCGAGCGAGTCTGCTATCTGCGACGCTGGCCTCCTCGAGATGTGCCACGGGCTGCTGGGTCCAGCTTTCAAGTCCTGGTCCAAGGCGGTGGGGAAAGGACGGAAGAGGCGGGAGTCCATCGCTGCCTTGGCCGATGGAGCCGTTGGCGACGACGGCGATGAGGCCGACGAGCACGCTGACGACGAGATGGGCGGAGCTGGCGACGGTCAGAAGCAGGGCACCAGTTACACAGAGAGGCTCAACAATCACATGAGGATAGCCGAAGAGTTCATGTCCATGACGCTGCCCATTCCTCACACGTTCTTCGTCTTGGCTAACAATATATTGAGGCCCCTTCAGGCCATGCTTCGCAAGCACTGCCATTTGACGTCCATGGATTTTGAAAAAAAGCAACGGGTTATTGCTGCCAAGCGCGCCAAGGCAGGATCAGTTGGCCTTAACAGAGATTTCCCAGCAACTGTGCTTGCCGATGGTGTTTTGGAAAACCGCTGCATGGATAAGTTGCGCGTCTTGTTGTGCAATCATCAGATATGGCATTTGATACGGCCCGAGGAGTGCACGAACAACAACACTGCCCTCGCATTTATCATGATATCCGATGCTCTGTCGACTATTTCTCAGGAGGTTTCGCTTGTGAACGCTAGCTTTCCCACGCGGCTTTTCCAGCTGCTGCATCAGCCAGAGTTGGGGCCCACCATGGGGGCCGTGCCCTACTGCATGAAGGACGCATTCACCAGGGAGCTCCAGTCAACAACGCGGTTGGGGAGTGAGGAGTGTCTCTTACGTCTTGCAGCATGCGCCATGGTGATACAGGGCAACACCGCCCCCAATGAGGTCTTCAACGCACAGATGCGCAAGATCGTGAAGATACGAACGCAGTGTCCGC